AAGACACGTTTACACTAGTCGAAAAAACTACGACAAACAGGCTGAAACAATCAGTTATACAACCTTCAGGCTATGATGGTGAAGATAGCTTCCCGGCAAAGCTCTAAAGTACAACCCTTCGTTCGGTCGATTGCTCTCAAGCTGATCTCTGAACTCAAGACACTGCAAGACTTGTATAGCTTTAACCTACCTTCGAGAATATTCCCGAGAAAATCGATAAGAATGCGTTCTAGAATGTTCTCGCTCCGTCTCTGACATATCGCCAACTTTATCGCAAAATATCGCCAAATGGGAGATTTCGCACCAAATCTAGTAACCCTGCCACTGTCTGGCAACCGTAAACTCGCCTGCGTTGCGGTTGAAGCTATCCCACGCATAGCCGTTGGGCATTTTGTAACAATAAAAATATATGCAAAAGTGAATTGAGTACTTACTTTTGCCAACAAGACTGTACCAGAATTCCATAGAGCACGTTGAAAATGCGTTTCGTAACGTCGTAGTTTCTAGGGTAGCTTTCAAACTTGAACTGTACATGTACCTAGTTGCTGATGCAATGGCGAAATAGCCTAAAATGAATAAACCTTAATGATTCCAGAGCACTCACCAACAAACAGATACGATGCATTATTATCAATAATATACATATATAAAAGAATTTTTTAATAATTAGTTTTGTGAAAAATTCTTAAAAGTTCATTTTATTATCATTTAATTAAATCTCAAGAAAGAGATGTATTTTATGAGAAGACTTAATTTTTTTTCGATGAGCCTTTAATTAAAAGATTAGAAATTGCTCATGAAATAGGATTTCTCATATGCTCAATGTAATTTAACGTTATTTTGGACTCAGTTTTTCTTTTTAAAATAACGTTACTGTAATAAACTATATAATTAAATAATTTCTTTTCTACCGGAGAATTTAATTAATTGTTTTTATATATTTTTATATTCATCAGTTACGCATGTTAAGAGATAGCGAATATAATCTTACAGAAATGTTTTACTTCTTCCAAGCGAACTGAAAGATGTAATAAATAGAATAACCGAATAATATTTTATGCAAATGGCTGGGATTTGTTACACAACCAAGCGATCCAACTATACAAAAGCTAAAAAATGTATATCGTAGTAGAATAATATGTTCTAAATGCGTCAGCTAAATATTGTAAAATATCTGATGTGGACACAACTTGATTTCCTTGTATGGCCTATTAAATTATACACATTTTTGGTGCATTTCATTTTAATTTACTTTCTCGAATTTCATTAGAGATATATTTATCATTAATTCAATTCAGTTCTAACATCGCGGCAAGACCCCCCCCCAAAAAAAATGCATAAAAATTCAAAGCATTTTCATTAAAAATTGTCAAATACAGAAAAACTTAAAACACCAAATGCAGTTAAAAAGTACTTTTCATAATTAGAGTTTGTATGCAAAAACAAGCAATTTGGGCAGCATTCAAAAAGACAGATTTTTCGGTACAAAAACTTGAAAGTTTACATTTGGCCTCACTTGGGAAAAAGACACTGAAGTTGGTACACAAATTGACTTAATTCATTATTCTACTAAGACTTTCAAATGGCGGCTTCGTTAGGCTTAGTACCACTTAAACGTTTAAATTGTTGATAATTCTAAAACTCTTGCATGTATATCAACTAAAGACATAAAACTCTTAACCAGAACATAAGAAAAACCTAATTCAATCACTTTTAAAACACAAAATGCACTATTTACCAACATATAAGAATAAAAATACTGAGCTCACAAAGCCTGGTAATATATGAATATATATTCCTACTCTATTACCAGATTTTTATTAGCACTATTATTCTATTACCTAGTCTATTATATATATATATATATACATATATATGTACTAGAAAGCCCGGCCATCATACGAAATGACCGCTGTTCTAGATATTATAAATTGTAATTAAAATGATTTGTGCAAGGTGTCTGCTAATTCAAACTGAATTTACCCAGCGCAGGCGGCGAGGACGCCTCTTTGCTTACTGCTCCACGGGGTTTCCCCCCCTTCTACTTGTTTAATTGCTTAAAGTAGAGTGCAATGAAGGAAACCACTCACGGTACATTTCTTAAGAGTCACCGCTAGATGAATAAATAAAGGTGATTTAAATAATGAAATGCTAATTTCACATGTCAAAGATCTCTTCGTACACAACATTTTTTGTGTAGATCTTTCCATCATTTTAAGCTCGCCTTGCAAAGGACCATCCATTATTTTTAATTTTACGTCTGTTCTTTCACGAACTCTTGAACAGGCAACATAAAGTTGACCGTGTCCAAATGCAGGCTCAGGTAAAAAAATGCCAACACGTTTAAGCGTTTGGTCCTGAGACTTATGGATGGTCATAGCAAAGGCAAGTTTTACAGGAAACTGTCTACGTCTCAATCGAAACGGCAACCCTGTGCTGTGGCAACTTCACCCCATTGGCTAGTACAGTTACGCAAGCAACCAATAAATTATCAGCTGCATATATATATGGGGTGAAATAACATCATCTCCTCCGAAACGGCTGGCTCCCGGGCTTAGCGAAGCACACCGTTGGATTCCGCAGGTCCGTAGCATGCCATTTTGACCACTCGCGTCTTCGTGGGACTTTAATTAGCCGAAATATTTATTAAAAACTAATTTTCCCCTACATTTCCACTTTCTTTCTTGGGTTTTCCCTATTAGAGGAATTTGGCTACGTGCCAAATTCTTTTTTCTCGAATATCTACGGAACGGCGCCGAGTTGAAATTCCAGATACGTATCCTCGGATTACAAAAAATTCTCCGAATCCATTGATACCATTCTCATCTTCGTACGACTTACTTCGTACGCAGATTTTAAATAATCTCGCCGAGATATTATTTAAAATCTGCGGAAACGTTAATTTGTGCGCTCGTTTTTCCGAGTGGCAACAATAAACTATCGGCGACACACACTTTAGCTGCTTATATATATAAAGATGTATGTTTGGTGTGGCCGACTGCAACTAAAAAAGGGAGGTGCACAACTACATATTATGGCAAGCCCACATACAACGTTCTATGGGTATTTGATTTGGAGTATTGGGAGATACATACATACGTTACGTACAGGCATCAAGAAAAAATACCTTTTGAATCCATTTTAAATTCATTTTACAATCCATTTTGGAAAAAAGACTCCTTTATTCTGCCCGTACACTCAAAACAACAGTCTAAATGGATTCGAGAGCGGTGAAAATGGACATATTCTTTGAAATACGACACTGTGAAACTGTGAAATTTTACACAAACACATTCCAATACTTCCTTTACTTCGTACAAGGAACTGAAAATCATTTTTTTGGAGCTGTGGATGATATTGAAGGTACTGAATTTTTCTGACAAAATTAACTAATGGTTTTTGCGGAAAGTTCACAAATTACCTCGGAATGCTTCTAAGAACATTTAGTTCTACAAAAATGATAAAGTGTAAAAATATCTTAATAACTCCGATCGTTGCGAAAAAAAAAAATAGTAAAGAAAGAACCAGAAAATCTGCTTGAATCATATTTTTATGATACTTATGTTATGCATCGTGGAACATCCAACATGTGGAAATAACGCCACTGTTGAAAATAAAGCATGTTTCAAACGTCTTTTAAGCCGCTTCACCTGTTCATATTCTAACTGCAAGAGTTCATAACTTGTAGAAAAGGAGCAAAATTCTTCGTCATTAAATTTAAAAATTTGAGTAAGCTCTATATGTAATTTATTCCTTTCAGTGTGGTGATCTATGTGAATGAATAAAATTCGGTTTCAATTTTGCCTTCATATATGAATTCAAAAACAAATTCTTTGATGTGGCGTTAAAGTTGGAAACAGAAGATAAAAGTGAATTAAAACCTACAATAATGAATATCTAACCAAAATTTATAAATAAATAGATTCTTTCATGAGGCATCAAGGTTGGAAACAGAAGATAAAAATGAATTAAGACATACAATTCCGAACATTTAAGGAAAATTTACAAATAAACAAATTCTTTCTTTCATGTGGCATCAAAGTTGGAAACAGAAGATAAAAATGAATTAAAACATACAATTCCGAACATTTAAAACAAAATTTGTATATAAGCAATTTTTTTCGAAGCAGAAGATAAAAATTATTTAAGACGGACAATTCTCAGTATTTAAACAAAATTCGCAAATAACCAAACTCCTTCATATGACATCAAGATTGAGAACGAAAGATAAAAATGAAGTAACTCAGACAACTCTGAACATTTAACCAAAATTTATAAATAAGCAGATTCTTTAAAGTGGCATCAAGTTTGGAAGCAGAAAAATAAATTAAGACATACATTTCTGAACACTTAACTAAAATTTATAAATAAACAAATTCTTTCTTTCATGTGGCATCAAGGTTGGATAAAATCAAGAAGATAAAAATGAATTAAGACATGCAATTCCGAACATTTAAGCAAAATTTATAAATACACAAATTCTTTCTTTCATGTGGCATCAAGATTGGATAAAATCAAGAAGATAAAAACGAATTAAGACATACAATTCCGAACATTTCAGCAAAATTTATAAATACACAAATTCTTTCTTTCATGTGGCATCAAGGTTGGATAAAATCAAGAAGATAAAAACGAATTAAGACATACAATTCCGAACATTTCAGCAAAATTTATAAATACACAAATTCTTTCTTTCATGTGGCATCAAGGTTGGATAAAATCAAGAAGATAAAAATGAATTAAGACATGCAATTCCGAACATTTAAGCAAAATTTATAAATACACAAATTCTTTCTTTCATGTGGCATCAAAGTTGGAAGCAGAAGATAAACATGAATTAAAACATACAGTTCCAAACATTTAACCAAAACGTATAAATAAATATGATATTTATGATGACCTGTGGAATCTTTTTTTGTGTGGTCGACCATCAAATTCTGTGTGCCAGCTTGAGACCGAACCCATCGGAACGTGCTGTAAGTTGATCCAATGTCGATCCATCCGCAGGAATGTTGCTCAAAATCACAATCAGCGCACATGGATTCATCCAGGCCGTTCGCGCAGTCTTTATGGAAATTGCATTTATCGGTACCAAGTACATGCTGGCCATTCTTACAGTCAAATAGTTCTGTTTTATCTGTAAATTAAACACATAACAAAATGTAAAAGGAGAGAAACAGTTAAATCTAAATTATCTTGTTTTCATAGAAAACCTAATAATCTAAAGTAAGTGGAATTTGTTCCATTTAATGCAGACGTAAACTACAGAGTTCTAATGATGCAATTTTTTAATTACATAGAAAATCATCCAAACTTTTTTAGTAGCAGTTACGCAATAAATTTCCGTAAATAATATTGAAAATTAAAAGCTGCATAATATGAATAAAATTATTATGTACATAAATATATGTATAAGCGTACACTTAATGCACACTCTGCACAAAAAAAAAGGGGGAAGTGCTATACTTCTCGTTCTACTGTACAGATTCGTGAAATTTAACTTGTGCTTTTCATGTTTGAAAGCGCGACACAGGATATATATTACATTTTATTACATTTATATATAGCATAGTTCTAATATAGGTATTCTGACACAAAATCGGATTTTTTCTGTAATGACATACTATAGCAGCTGCAATTCAGTATGCTCAGGATATCAATCTAGCAGCAACCGAAATTCACACAGACAGCATGTCAGTGCTACAGGCAATCATGAATCACCACCATACCTCACCCACAATTATAGCAATCCAACAGCTCCTGCGTAACAATATGCAAACACACATCAAACTAATCTGGGTGAAAGGACATGATGGCATAGAGGGTAACGAGATGGCAGACCAGTTAGCAAACGAGGCGGCACTCAACAACGACGCGCAAGAGGTGACAACTCCAATCCCGACTTCGTATTTAAAGCGAAAGCTAAGAGAACTAAGCAAAGAACAGTGGCAACAGGAGTGGGATAACTGTGATACAGGAAGAAGGACACATGGATTCTACCCAATAGTAGACAACGAACGTCTCCAGGCCATTGCACCCTTCACATACTATATCACGGGGCACGGCCCATTTCCCTCCTATTTTCAAAGACATGCAATTTCGATGACAGATATATGCGTCTGCGGGGCAACTGGCTCCCCCGACCACTACATATTTGAATGCAGCCTTTACATCCAACTTTACACCTAACCACTCCCAGCCACAAATATAGAATCATATAAACGATTCATCATTAAGCACCCACCAGCGGATCAAAAAGATCTGCGAAATAATTAGGCAGGTCAACGACCCTAGGGCAAGATATCTGCCAACCAAACTAGCGTCAATTAAGGCGTCTCATAAAGCAACCACAGTCAGCTTTTCACTTCCAAATCATCAACAGAATTCTGTCAGTCTCTTATACTGACAATCAGCTGAATGCAACTTACAATATGTTTAAATTATGTGCTGCGCTTATAACATAACTGCACTATACACTACCAACACTGTATATATAACCGCTGAAATGTCCCTACAGCGCATGAAGTACTTTTTTTTTTCTTTTTTTAAGAGACATAGGCTGCTTACTGCGTACAGTACTCACTTACGGCGTATAGAGCAAACTACTGACTATGAACAGACTGCTACCTGCATTGTGTCTCTGTAGTAGTTACAAACGACTGAAATATCTATAGAAGTATTTCCTGGAATAACCACAGTTATTACAACAACTGCAAGTTATATATCAGTGTATAAGGTACTGTGCGCAGAGTAATTGGAACGCCCTGACAAATCGTGTACAGAACTTATCAACAGTGTACAGAGCTCAACACTAACTAATCACAGGTTACTACTTGCATGTCCATGCTAGTCCATGCTTAACTGAACAGTGTAAAACAAATGTGTATCCGACTTTGCATTGTGTAACCATTCTGTAAGCATTGTGTATATAACAAGCATCATGTATCTATTACAATACTAATATGCACTGTGTATTCTACAACATAGTGTTTTCTCCTACAGTCATTGCCAGTACTGTATTACACAAACGCGTTATACAAACTATCTGCAATAAATATGCACCTCATTCTGCACTGAATTTGTCAAATTCTGCACAGTATCTGCTGTATATAAAGCATATAATTACTATGCAACTATCTACATTGCGTGTGCATTATCTGCAATACCTTACAACCTGTTGTGTATCTGACTTTGCACTGTGCATTTGTTCTGTGAGCAATGTGTATATAAAAAAGTACTGTGTACCTACTTTAATCCAATAAACACTGTGCATCTAATATAAAATAAGCTCAGCGCATTCTATAACATAGTGTCTCCACTACAGTTATTGCCTGCACATGATATCTGTATTACTCAAACTATCTGTATTATATCTGCACTGTATCTGACATATGCATAATGTATAATTCATCTATATCTATCAATATTGTATCTGCATTACCTGTATAATCTCATAGCTTCGCATAGAAATATATAGCTTGGCAACATCACACAACATAGCATGCATGGTGCTTCGTACTATAATGTGTGTGTATACAATAGTATAGATTTTTTTTTAATGTGTTAGTATAATTGTGTTTATATAATTGTGCACAATTGTGTTATATACCGTTAGTATAGTGTTTTAATTCTGCGTTTTAATACATTAGTATAATTGTGTTTGCATAATTGTACACCATAACTGTTGTATAATAGTAAGTATAGTGTCTTATTTCGTTTGTACAATTGTGCGCAGTATAAATTCTAATATCTAATGCTTTACAAGCATTGTGTATCCTGTTTTTACATTGTGTATCAATTCTGTAAGCATTATGTATATAAAAAGCGCTGCATATCTATTCAAATTAAATAAGTATTGTGTACCTGATATAATGTATTGCATAATGTATTCTCCAGAGTAAAGTTTCATCTGTAATTACTATATCATCTAATAACAAAATTTAATATTCTACAGTGTGCCTGCATGCTTTATGTATGTTTATTTGCGCATTTTACATGTGATATGTGATCTAAATGTGTCTAAATGATCTAAATGTGTCTTTAGTGTAAGTGTATACTATATATTAGCTTAAATATGTTTCATTATAAGTATGTGTTTTACTTGTATAAGTGTGTGCAAACTAGTATCTAATTTCTATTTTTATATAATGTGCTTACATGTTTTATATGTGTTATATATGTGCTTTTATATGTGTTTTACAAGTGTTTTGTATGTATCTTTATATGTGCAATTGTATGTACTGTATGTGTATGTATGTATATGCTGTAATTAGTGTCTAACAGTGTCTAAAAACCAAGATGTAACAAATCATCCGCCTATCGATCAAAACTAATGTATTCCTAAGACGCCTCTGTATGGCCATGTACAATTACGTAAAATTCTTCAATAAACTCCCAAGGTGGCCTCATGAGGCTCCTGGGAGTTGCTGCCACTAGATAGGGGAGGGCGCGGGACATATGCCTGTTTACCTCTGTTAAACATCAGGCGTCCCCGTCCTCCGTCACCTGTCACCTGTAATGACATACTGACTGTTTTCCATATTTCTATTCTACGACTTAGATTATGCTAAAGCGCCAAATTTTGTAAATATCTCACCAGCAGTTTAAAAAATTTAGCTCTCAAAATTTTAGCTTCTCAATATTAATTGAATTTGATATATATATTTATTAATCTCTCTTTTTTTATTAAATTCACTTGCTTTCTTCCTTCACAGCTCGAAACCTAGATTCGATCCAAATAAAATTCGAAGATATTTTTTATTTATTTTTAAAATTTGTATTATTTAGTAATTTTTATAAATTTTTCGAAAACATTTTTGAATTATGACCCATAAAATGTTATCATCTTAAAAAATGTATTTCTAGACATACCTGCAAAAAATTAGAGTTTTTTATTCAGAATTTCCCAAGATATACGTGAATTTATGTACTGGGGCGTTTTGAAATTTGGCATATTTTTTAGAAGCGATAAAAACGCCAAATGCTCTTTATGCACTTTGAGAAAAATTATTTGAAAGGGCGAACGGTAAACTTTTCTTTCTGATCGCGCACAATGAATAAAGGGAAAGGAAAACAGGCTACCATAAATTAAGAATTTCGCCAAGTAAATTATTCTTGGTACAAACTGAAAAAAGTACGCTAAGATAAACTTTTAAATTTCGTGTTTAAGTTTCTCACCAAATTTTACAAAATTTCATATTTGGCATAATTTGAGTCGTAGAATCGAAATATGGGAAAGAAGTCGGTATGTCATTTAAGAAAAAAAAAAGTCCGATTTTGTGTCAAAACACCTACGTTAGAAGAACGCCATATATAAATCTAATATATATCCTAAGTCGTGCTTTCGAGACATGAAAAACCCGTTCATATTTTATCAATCGACCGACTAGAACGGAAGATATAGAACTGTCCCATTTTTTTGTGTAAGTTATACTTAGGGAGTGCATTCAAACATAACAATGATTGAAATGATCAATTTACTATCCTTAAATGAGGATTTTATTTGTTATGATTTCATAGTTTGCAATTAGGCATAAAAAATTCAACAAAATAATTCGCCCTCTGTAAATGTGTTTGTGCAACGGCTTAAATTAATTTTGCCTTTTATTAGATCAGCTTTAATAGTTACAAACAAAACATTGGCTTTCAGATATTTGCTGAGATTTGTTAAATTTCTGAGCAGTTCATTTTTGTCTAAAAAAGTTATTGTTTAAAAGAGTTACAAACATAGCTGTGGAAAATAACATCAAGCATCGTGTTTTGTTTTCCCTTTGCTTTCGAACTAAATCTTCCCATTTAGATTTTCTGTCTCAATTGCCTTCTATATGTCTATAAAAAGTGATTCTCTATTTAGAATCATTTTAAAGTATTCTATTCCTTACTCAAATAGTCAGGTTGCATTACTTACTTAGTTGATAATCAATACATTATATTATCGTCGCTGTGATTATTTTTCGTTGCCTATTCTTAAATGATTATTGTATTTAGAAGGTTATTTCTTTAATTTGAAAAAAATGTTTTTTGTATTAAGTAAGAATTTTATTCAGAAAGTAAAAATTTTTGGAATAAATTTATTTAATTAATAAGGAACTGAAACAAATAATGCATTTACTAGTACGAGAATTTTAAAAGATTCATTTTAAGTTACAAATTAAAATAATTCTTTATCACGGTTTTACCCTGTATTCCGGCATATAACGCGCAACGCTGTATAACGCGCACCTGTGATTGCAAACTGCATTTATTAATTTCCAGTTACATTTGCCAAATAACGCGCACCCATTTTTTACAATAAACCTGAAAGATACATGTGCGATGCTCTTACCTTTCGAAGTCACTCATTCGAAGGTTTTTCCCAGGCGTTCGAACAACAGCATACTGAATTGACAAGCGATCTCCGATGAAGTCGGGTTGTATTCACTACAGGTGTGCACAAGAATGTCATTCAAGGGTTTTGAGAAATAGCGACAGAATTTAGAGTAAGAATCCCCTTCCGACCCGAATGAATTCGCAGAATTAGGCGTAAGATGTTTTATCTTTTTGTAGTCATTTGAAGTCCTGATTTTGAAATGAACATCGAAACCCTTAGCAAATCGCGTTTGCTTTAGTTCAAATATAGCTGATCTAGTGGTCCTCTTAGTAGTATATATGGCTTGTGAAAAACGAAACAGCATAATGTTGGTTTCAAATGCAAAGTTATTCAATTTACGAAAAAAAATGGAAATCGTATTGCAGCAATGATGTTTAGCGGCAGTGAAAAATGGAATGGATAATGATTATTTATTTATGGGTCAGAGTAAAAATGATGGTGAAAATGAAACAGAATTTGATAATGTGCCTGAATATATGACGGAAGACGAACATGACGAACTTTTCATGCTACCCGATAAAGAAAAATTTTTAAGCTCATAAGATATGTCATTTCTTTTAAATAAATAGCATTTAGCTACTTATAAAAAATCTGGTTTTTGTATGCTGAATTTTTTCTTATTTTTAATCTATCGTTTTAAGATCTGGCGTATACGTGTACCCGTAAGTTTTGGTCTTATTTTCTGCATTAAAAGTACGCACTATACTTCGGAACATACAGTAGTTACTTTTCATTACAAAAAGAAAAGTCTTTAAAGAAGTGTATTTATGTAAAGCATGAAACGTTTTGTGTTTAGATATAAAATTTCGTGTCTGAACACTGGTAGTTCGGTCCGAATCCCGCGAACGGGCTGGCTGCATGGGCGTTTTCGTGGTTTTCCCCATGTGTAACGTGTATACGAGCCAGTTTCCCTTAGAAAGTCCTCCATGAATGCATCCCTCAGGCAGATAGCCCTCATGTGCTTTGCCGCAATTAAATACACCACGTGTCAGTGTTATTTTAATACATTTCGCTGCAGCAAATATTCAAAATATTAAAAGACGTGTTGTAAGATTAAATGTAGCCACCCCCGCCAAATTCTTACAAATTATATCGTACTATGCATAACATTAAACTGCACTTATTTTTATTATATAAAAATCCAACATCAAGCAAAATTTATCATTTAAGAAAATATTCACTTTTTAATTTTAACTAGAAAATTTTCAAGTAAATTAGAAATGCTTGGATAATAATGTTTTAAATTCAGGGATATTTTTCTTTTCCATTAAACCAGCTTGCAAACAGTGAAATAAAACAAACATTTACTTTAAGAGAGAACATTAAGTTAAAAAAATAATGATTTTTGTAAAGTAATTTTAACAATTCTGTCGTTAAGTATATTAAAACTCTGACTAATTATTTTGGTAAAAGTTTACAATTGGGTGCCCCTTGATTTTTGGCGATTCTTTTTTGACGCCAGGAAGGCACAATTTCAAGATGGACGCTACACAAAACCAAAATAAGAAGTCAAAGAATTGCAAAAACTCTGTGTCCATGTACTCATCGTTCTGTTTTCACTTCAAAAAACATCTTAGAATTGCACAAACTAGGCATTGCGCACTGCCTTAAATTTGTCCATGTACACATCAATCTCTTTTCATTTAAATAATATCAAGAAGCTAAAACAAAGTTAAAACTATCATGGTAACCAGAAGTGAAATTTCATCGCCAAAATTAAGAAAAATTGTCGCTAATCGAAGGAGCACCCAGTTCTACACTAGAGCCATTATTTTAATTTTTTCCAAGACTTAATTTGTGACCGAATGTTTTTTGCTCGAAAAAAATAAGTTTTACGTATTTCTTTCGTAACGTTTTGAATAAGTACATGAAAGTTTTTGGATAAAGCTGTAAAATCTGCGCATGTGAAAATATCACATGCAACTTGTAGCTTTAATAATACACTGCGATTTGTCTTTAAATCATTTTAAAACTTAGAAAAGTTTAAAACTTAGAACTTTAATTTAGCGAATGCACATGCAAGGTGTGACACACACAAAAAAACTAGACTTAGCTTTAAAAAAAACTGTAGCTGGCAACATCTGTTTTAGTGGCGTCATCTTACACACCACCTCTATCCACGCGGCCAGTTTCGACTTAAACAATCACACCAACTGGGAGTACTGCGTCATTGACTGAACATGTGCAACTGCCATTCTCCTGGAAAAAGTGTCTAATGTAAAAACTGAACAACGAATCAAGTTTCTTGTGAAACTTAAGAAATCAGCCATGGCCACATTTCAAATGTTAACTGAGCCTTATGGAGATGAAACTTTGTCTCGTGCACGTGTGTTTGAATAGCATAACCGGTTTTCAGACGGAAGGGACGAAGCACGCATGTCAAAATCAAAATTCATGGCAATGTTAACTGTCTTCTTCAATATAAATGGAATTGTAATGATTGAGTAGGTTCCCAATGGTCGTACAGCTAATCAATACTACTACATTGAAGTACTAAAAAGCCTTCGAGAAAAAATTAGGGAAGAAAAGATACAGTTGTGGAGTGATGGGTGGCTGTTGCACCAGGGCAATGGACCCGCTCACACGGGCCTGTCTGTCAAGCACTTTCTGACCTGTAAAAACATTACTGTGATGAGGCATCCTCCTTATTCACCTGATTTGGCTCCATGCGACATTTTTTTATTGCCTAAAATTAAATCTTGCTTAAAGGCAAGCCATTTTACTTCAGTTGAAGACGTTCAGGCCAAAACGGTGAATCTCCTGAAGGGCCTTCCAAACACCTCGCTGCAGAACTGTTACCAGCAATGGCAGCATCGGAATCAGAAGTGTCTAAATGCTGAAGGGGACTGCTTTGAAGGCGATAATGTCACGGAGAACTGATTCTGTAAGTACAATGATTTAATAGACCAGTTTCCTTTTCTTGTGTGTCACACCTGGTATGTCTCAAATGCCAATCGTTTTCTGTGCCTCTAAGCATATATTAAGTTGCCTATTATTATACGTCTTGGAAACAATAATTAAAATCTGAAATCAGATTGAGTGGCATCAGCAAGAAACAAAAATAAAATTGTAGAGAATACCTTCGCACACTCCATCACGTACTGATATGTCATCAACAGCAAAATAACCAAGCGTGTGGTTGCCAGCATAGCCCGCTAAGAAAACCTGCAAAAATATTTTACAAGAAATAAGAAGTGAAATTTCTTCATTTACTATCAGTATACATGTAAATAGTAAATCAAACAAATAGGAAGTAGTATCAGCATACAAGGAAGGAGTAAATCAGCATACAAGGTACACTATGTTGTAACTAAATTTACTTCTAACAATATTTAAAATAGAAATTTAGATCAAAAATAAAAGAAGCCTATTTTAAAGAAAATCTGAGCGGAATTTTTTTCGCGCTGTTTTAGCTTAATTCTAGTAAGCATTTCTCGAAGTGAAATCTGCTTTCAGTTTAATTTAACTAATGTTAAATTTAAACGAAGTTAATTTTTAAAGTTGAGAATAAAGTATTTGTGTTTCCATGTACACACTACAACCTCAGGTGTTACAATCTTCACTTCCTCGGAGACGCCTCATTCTCTTAATAAATTTCTGTCGCCAAGACTTGACCTGTAAAACCATAAAAAGTTCTACTTTATTATTAAAACTTATTTACTCTGGTTTCATGATTGTCGCTGATGGACGAATTTCTTCAGCTTTCTCCTACGTCCGTAATTTGACATAGTAATTACATGACAATATCGCTCACATTCTTAATTGGCCAGAGAAATTATTAAGTTTATTTTACTTAGCATCAATGGACGTTAAATGTGATTAATTTTAATTTCTTAAGTTCTCTAATATTTCGTTTCCTGTTAAACAGGAACTGAGTTTTATGAAATTGGGTAGTTCTGGCAAGTTAAAATTATCAAATATATATCGTTAATCATGTGTAAGTAAGCAAATATTAAGTTCTATCTATCAAATTTAACACATGTGTGGCCAGATTTATACATCTGTGTTTCAAATTAGTAAAATTGCGTGGCAAAAGTTTTAATATTAAGATGGAATTTGAAATTTTCGGTTAATCATATTAGGAATATAAACATTTAATACTTCCAACTTTCCTTTTAAAAAATCTCATAATTATTCTTTTTATTCTTTTTTTTTTTAAATCTAAAAAAGGCGTTGGCTTGAATGGGCTATTAATCTCGGAACGGGATTTTGCATCTGCCAACCGAATAGCTTCTCAAACTGTTGCACCAAATACTACCGCCCTGTAATCTTTTTAAAGAAATTAAATAATGAAGAACTTGTATGTATGTATCTATTTTCCTCGCACTGCGAAAAAACGACGGTGCCTAGAGACATCAAATTTTGAATAACGTAATCTTCCACCACGAACAGGTGCACCTAGAACTCCGAATTTTGAATTTCGAAATATATATTTCATATTTATGCATATATTTCATACTTTGAAAAACTTCAATGAACTTTTGATTAACAAGTTCGACGATTTGAAAGACATCACTGGAAACACTGTACGGAATGAAATATTTTTATCTCCAGCGCGCGAGATTGTCTATTGGAAGTTCTAAAGATATTCTGTTTCTAAATATTTTGTGATTTTACTGTTAATTTGGATTTTATGTGGCGTAAGTGGGAAGAACATGATATTTAATAAATAAAGTCAACACACAAAACTTTAATAGCAAAAAGGCCAAAAAACCTTTTGTAAGCCATCTTACTAAAACACTTAACGTTGATATGATAAACTGAGAAAAGACTGAAAATAAAGAGAAAATACATGCCAACACTTAACACTGCATCATCAATTCTTAACATATATTGCTATGTTGTTTTTAATATTTTTATAATTTTCCTGTTGAATTGTGTATGGGCGCAAGTGCGAAGAAACTGATGCTTAATATAAGGGGGCTCATACACTTTAAAACCCTTATGATCTTGGAATATGTGACTGTTGCAAGAATTGGGATATTTTATTTATTTTAAAGCAATTACTTCCAACGTTTTACAGCTGACTGCATATAGCTGCTTGGGAACTAGTAACCAGAAAGTTTGGTTGCCACAAATTTTTTTTAATTTATACGCTTTTCGACAAAGTTTTCGTCATGTTTCCACTTGCGCGCATGATTTTAAAATGGCTAATGGTACATACTTGAATTTAGTGAATTCTTTATATGGGCACTATTTTCTAACTAAAACCAAATCTGATGAATATTTTAATATTAAAACATTACAGATTTTTTGATAAAATGCATTTATAAACTCGACTCCAAATAAAATAAAATTTAACATTGAAATTCTTAGAATTATTGGTTCACGTAGTTTTCCAAATGTTAAAAAGCTTATATTAAATAGGGAATGAAATTATGCAACAGAATGTGTTAAACTGTGCGCGCAAGGTGGAAACATGACAAAACATTTTGTCACAAAGCGGATTAAATTATGAAAATATTTTTGGCAACACAAACTTTGTTATTACTATTTCAGAAAACAGCTATATTAGGTAGTCAGCTGTAAAACGTTGGAATTAATTGCTTTTAAAATCAATAAGTTATCCCAATTCTTGCAACAGTCACATATTCGAAGATCTTATGGGTTTTAAGGTGTATGAGTCCCCATAAGACTAAAAGGACAAAAAGAAATAGGTCAGCAGGAGCAAATGCAACAGCAGACTAGTTGAGTGCAAACTCAGCGAGAGCATAAGAAACCTTAACAAATCCTTTTGGGCGATAGTTAAAAATGGATCCGTTCAATTTTTTTTTTTTTTTTTTTTTCTCTAATTTTTCCTGTCTGTCTCTCTTTTTCATTGTGTGAAAACATGATATAAGGAAAGAAGGAAAGAAGATCCCAGCTATGCCACATTCCTGTTCAATTTATTTTTTGGTGAAGATAATTGTCGGTTTTTCTTGACTAACGGCAACGCGTTGAACATAACGTCAGTCAGCATAACGCCAACGCTTTGTGTGGAACGCTTTGGATGTGCGAAGATTCTCCTTGATTTAAATTAGCTCTGTTCCTTTAATGTTTTTTTAGAGAGGGAGGTGGTATCTCTCTTTTATAAAATCGAGGATCTCTGCATTCCTTCTTTTCATTTTTTCATTTTTGCTTTATTTTGCTTCGTATTAGCTTGAAGATATAGAATGAGGTATGGCTTCCTCATTTTGTATTAAGTCAGTTGACTACTTCATTTGCTGACTTCTGCTGTTTTTGAAACTATTCATTATCCCTACTATTTATAACTGAAATAGGTCAGGGTCAGGTTTTATCTTTATCTTCTGCGGTTCCAGTTTCTTCACAAGCGTTTCACTTTATATGTTTACCAGGTACTAGCTACCTACTTCTACACAGCGAGATCCGTATTTTCATCAAGAAGTTCCGGCTTGGGCCAGCAGTCATGCAGTCATTTTTTAGTAGAGAGTTCGTAAAATTTGACCATAACATAGAACTGGCATACATAGCTTGGGCTGAGATTCCCCCCAAAAAACATAATGCGGTTGTAAACTATAACTAGTCCACAATAGCCTATTGTAAAGAGACAGCTTTCTAAAAGGGGAAAAAAAACCTCATATGATTTGTACTAGTTTTTTTTTTTGTTTTTTTTTGTTTGTTTTTTCTTCTTCAGCCAATTACGAATGCGCTTTTTAATTTTTTTTTTCCTTTTTGAAATGTGTATCTTTTCCAGTCATGTACGTTTTTGTTGTTGTCTCATGTATACTTAGTTCCTGTTTTTTTTCCTTTTTTATTGCTGGTTTTTGTCCTCACAGAATTTATTTAAAGTTTGAACTGCAATTCGTGTTCCCGACAAAATTAGTACCACGGATACACCGTAAAATTTCGTTGCCCTCCGAATTGGAAACTTATCCCCAAGACGGAATCAGACCGAAGGAACACGGTACTAAGACAGAAAACGTCATTTTTTCAAAGGCACCCACCCAAAAGTCCACGTAAGGTGTATCCGATGTTATAGGAGGAATAACTGAAATCAGTGAATTAGTCCATTTGTCGTCCGTTGTATCTTTGATCAATTTCAGTCGGTCTGCTGTGATGAAGTCCCCACTGCTGTATACTTGAAGAGAGGCTCCGTTTTTGTAACTAGATGTAGCATACCAGAGACTTAAGCAAACACCAGAAGCAGTACGTAAGCGTTCGGAGACATACACTGCTTTTCCGCCACCTTGAATATATCTTGTGTCCAAAAGCAAATAAAAACCTATAAAAATAAATTAATAATATATTGTTAAAGTTAACATATTTGGAAATAACTTATAAATATATGCGATGTATTTTAAAATTTAAAAGATTAGCTGGGAGAGATTTAAAAAATTGTACTTCAGAAGTAAAGCTAACAAATTATGTATTCATTTCGATTTATGTGATTTCAGCTAAAATTACATTCACAGTTATTTGCAAGGCATTGTACCAAAGCTAAGGCTTTTGGTACCATATTAAATTCAGCAGATCTTCTTTTTAAGAGCCCTTACACACAGGCACGAAGATGGATCCAAAAAAAAAAAAAAAAAGATTACAAGGGTAATAAAAATTTATTTATTAACAATAGACAATCACAAGACGGTATTAAGAGTACTTGCCTATCATTTTTCCACATAATCACCAAATATATTTAGGCATTTGTCTAAATGAAGGACCAGCTTGTTTCACCCGGCTTGGTAGAAATCATGTCCCTATCCACTCAGCCAGTTTACTGTGGCTGTTTTCACAGGATGGCATCATCACTCAACATGCACTTGCGTCGGATGGTTTCACGTAGCCTTGTCAAACTGGCACAATAACGATCTGCAGTAACGTTACGGCTACGCTCCAGATACTCGATCACGTATCACGTAACAGAATCACGTATCACGACTCGCACCCCCAAGCGAAACCACTTTTGTAAAGGTCTTGCCACTGCAAGCGCTCTGACGCGGGCGTCTGCAAATTTACTCTACCTACGCGGACAACCAGTACTAGACAACTAATGCCATCTGTCGACACTCTAAGGATAAAGTATTCCCTCTACAATAATAACTTTTGAAATGATGATGCTTGCACCGTTTTTTTTTTTTTAGCCAAAGGCACAACTTGCCCAGAAGGGCTATTAATTTCGTTTTGGCATTTTGCGTCGATTCACTATAAACGAAGAATCACTTTTCAAATCGTAGCCATTAAAAATTAGAGCCCTGTATTATATATTCAAAGAAATTAAATAATGAGGAATCTGCATAAATGCTTGTATGTTTCTCGCATTGTGATAAAAGAACGGAACCTAGAGCCAACCAATTTTCAATAATGTACTGTCTGTTTACGACAAGAAGAGCTCCCGCCACAGTGTCTGGTGGGTGGAGGTCACTATAGCAACAAGGCCAGTATATTTCAAATAGGGACGAACCAAGCGTTGCTTTATTTTTATTTTGCTTTTGGCGACTGTTGGCTGAGAGGAAAGCAGTTTATCATTCGTCTTATTAAGTCAGTGTAAGACATCCCTACGAACAATGGGTCAAGGCTCGTTTCTACGGCAACAGACAGCTGAAGACTAGCTGGCGAGAGCTTTTCTTATGATAGATAGACTGTACGTCTGCACCCGAATATGGGCATCTGGAAGCCCATATTTGAAATTTGGGTTTTGTTTTATTATCTATTTCATATTTTGTAAAACTCAACGATTTCAAAGCGAGCAATGGCAACTGTACGAAGTTTTCCAGTTTTTATATGGTTCCCTGTGATACTGTTCTGTTGGTATTTCTTATGACTCGGAATATGGTTGTAATTTTAAGTGCGGCGTTAAAAATAATCTAGCTTTCGTTTTTTTAATAATAAAATCTGGCATTCGTAAAAGATTTTTTTTGAAAAAATAATTTCAATTAAAATTTTTTTATTTTCTAAAGCTTTTTTTCAATGGCTAATTTCTCCACTTCGGAAATTTTTATTCGTATAATAATCCAGTCCACGTATTACTTTATAAATCCCATAATATTAATTTAAAGTTCTCCCCATTTTAAAACCAATCTTTATACCAACAACAGTTGAAAAAATATACACACCGCTTTCTTATCAATTAGGCTTACCAATTCAAATAATAACTTATTATGAATTCTGGTAACATATAAGAAACTGATAAAATTCCTAATTTCTGTTTATAATAATTGCAGTAATAAATAGCTTACTGTCCACTTACTTTACTTTCTGATTATGGCCCATTATTAATTCCGATTATTTACTGTCCCATTTATTACTTTCTAAATGGTTTCATCCAGTTACCGGTTCACCGCTTGCTTTGTGTGTAAATTAAATAATTCAATCCAGTTCGGCACCAACTTGTCTCTTCGTGCATGTTTATTTGCACAACTGTAATTCGCACATAGAATAAGAGTTTCTTTTTAGTTCTTTAGTAGTTCTTTCTCCTCCAACTATTCTTTCTTCATACCAGAGAGAAAGAAAGTTTAATTTAATTAATTGAATGAAATAAAAACTTATAAATAACCCCCTTTAAAAAAAGATCAGGGACTCATACGTTGCAATAGCAATTCCTTACTTCCCAAATCAACAAATAATAGTAAAATCATAAAAAAGAGTGTTGCACTAAGCAAAACTTTTCGAACACAATTTCGATATACAATACTATTTTAAAAAATAAAACTTATTGGTAAAATAATAATAATTGCACTGTGTATTATGATAAAAATGAAAATAATAATAATAAACAAAGAGAAACAATTTCAACATACAATATGCTAAAATAATAATAATTTAACTGTATGTTATAATAAAAATAAAGATAATAGCAAACAAAAGGAAATCATTTCGATAAATTTCAACATACAATATGCTAAAATAATAATAATTTAAACTGTATGTTATAATAAAAATAAAGATAATAGCAAACAAAAGAAAATCATTTCGATAAATTTCAACATACAATATATATTTAAAAAATTTTGATAAAAATAAAAATTTAAATGATAAAATTTATAATAAAGTATTGTGTTCTGGTTTTAATAATATTATAACAACAACAAACAAAGTATAATAGTTCCGTTTCAATATAATAATTTTTAAAAATATAAATTTTTCTAACTTTTTGATGTTGTGTTACTATAATATTTAAAATAAACAACAGAAAGTTACAAATAAACAAAAAGAAACAGTTTCAATATTATTATTTTTAAATAAAACTTTGGATAAACTTAATAATAATAATTTCAACTGTATTTAAATAAAAAATAACAAAAAAGAAACAATTCGGAAACATATTATTTTTAAAAATGAAACTTGTGGATAAATAATAATAACTGTATTGTGCATTATATTAAAACTAATAACAACAGCAAACAAAAAGAAACAATTTTGATATACAATATTATTTTTAAAAATAAAAATTTATTGATAAAATAACAACTGTACTGTGTATTATCATAAACATACTAATAATAACCAATAAAAAGAAACAATTTCGAAACGGAATATTATTTTTAAAATAAAAACTTATTGATAAAAAATAATACCTGCACTGTGAATTGTAATAAAAATTGATAACGACGAACAAAAATAAATTATTTGCATAAACAATACTGTTTCTAAAATAAAAACTAATTGATAAAATAATAATACCTGTACTGTGTATATAATAAAGATAATAATAACAGCGAAAAAAAACAATCTTGATATACAATATTACTTTTAAAAATAAAAACTTATAAACTTGATAAAATAATAATAATTGATCTGTGTATTATAATAAAAATAATAACAACAAACGAAAAGAAACAATTTTGATATACAATATTACTTTTAAAAATAAAAACTTATCGATAAAATAATAATATCAACAAATAAAAGAAATAAGTTCGGTATACAATATTATTTTTAAAATTATATTAAATTAAAAAAATTATTTATATTAATTTCAAAATAAAAACTAATTGACCAAGAAAATCATAACTTTACCTTGTGGTGATCCAAGCGTATGATCTCTCGGAGGTCCAAAGTAATCTATTCCTATGTGTCTTATCCAATCAACATCATCTTTTAGCAAATCCGTTTTTACGTCGGCATTTCGTACGTCTAGGAAATAAAACCATTATTTCTTCACCGTGAAGATTATCATTGGAAATAAATTTAAGTATAAAATATCTGTTGCGGACACCAAATGACTTCTTCGTACAACCTATTAAATTGTTCACATTTCTGCTGCATTTCATTTTAAACTTATTTCTACTAATTTCATTAGAGATATATTTCTCATTTCTGTCAATTCAGTTCTCACTTCACAGCAAGGCAAAAATACACAAAACCTCATAACATCCTCATTAAAAATTATAAAATACTGAAACACATAACACTAAATACATTTAAAAATAGTTAAGTAAAACAATTTTTAAGGTATTTTAACCGTAAAAATTGTTAGAAAGAGTTTCTACGCCAAAACAAGCAATTCCGCCAGTGGGCAGAAAGACCAAATTTTCCGTGCACAGAATTCAAAGTTTACTCTTGGTGCCGCTCGTCAAAAAAGCCACTGAATTTGGTACACAAACTGACTTAATTCACTATTCTACTAAGAGTTCAAATGTAAACAAATGGCGGACTCGTAATTGTAATTCTACAGCTGTTGCATGCAGATTAACTAACTAAATGCATAAAAATCTTAACTGGAACATAAAAATAACATAATACAATCACTATTAATACAAAACAATGCATAATTTACCAACATATAAGAATAAAATAAACTGAGTTCATCTAGCCGGGTAATGAAGTGGCTACACACACACACATACACATATATATATATAACGCAATTTCTCAGATACGCTTAAGGATACTAATGGTAAGGAAAAGTTAAAACAATGTTTTTTATCTGACATTTTTATCAACTAAAAAGGCAAGTCTTTTCGGAGAATAAGAAACTGGAGAAAATAAAATATATTCTGGGACTTTGTTTGCATAAATAACAGTTCCAAATGAATCTGTAATTATTTCTGATATTTACGGGAACTGTGATCAGTTTTATAAGAAAAAATTATTACTTTTTCGTTAAACAATAATTTTTGTAAAGTATAAAAATACACATATTTTAAAATGTTCTGCAAAAGAAAATTATTTATATATCGTTGAAATGATTAATTTCTTAAATACTTTTGTTTTTAATCGTCATATTATTGATTTAAAATTTTCGCTCTAAATCTTCAAACAAAAACTCAAATCTGTATTATAATTGTTGCTTCCTTGGATAAACGAGCCATTTTCTCTGAAAGTGGTGTAAGTTCCTTTTGTATTATATGGAGATATTTAAGGATTTGTATTTGAATGGTTTGAAAATATTGGTATGTATTAATATGTTCATTTTATGTTTTTAAACTATTAAATTTATTTAAATATATAATGTGATTATTTTTAAAATATTAGTTAAAAGAAATTTATACTTTTGATAACCTTAAATGAACTTAACCACTTTCAAAGTAAACAAAATCTGAAAATCATACATTTATAAAATATTAAACATGGGATTTCAGTTAAATCAAAATAAATTTTTCTGAAATTTTTATTAAATATGTCAAAAAAATAAACTATATAAAAAGGCTGTATTATCCCAGAAGGGCTATAGTCTCGAAACGGCATTTTGCGACAAATCACTTAAATGCATTGTGTCACTTTTCACCAAATATTATTCCGTTGTAGTATATTTAACGAAAGTAAATAATGAAGAATCTGCATAAATGTATGTAGGTTTCTCGCACTGTGAAAAAACGACGGTACCTAGAGCTATCAAATTTTGTTTAACGGAACCCACCACCCGAATATGGGCATCTGGAAGCCCGAATTTCGAATTTGTTTTATTATCTATTTCATATTTTTTTTAAACTTTAAAAAAATTTTGATTAAGAAACTCAACGATTTCGAAGCCATCAGTGGCAACACTCTATGGAATAAACAATTTTATATCCAGGGCGATATAAAATTGGGAAGTCTAAATCGGGATATAAAATTGGGAAGTCCTATCGGGAAGTCTAAATATATGCTGTTTTTAAGTATTTTTAGCCCAAATGTTTTTGAAAGCTTTCAAATTTCTTTTTTTCAAGAACTTTTTTTCCTGAAAGCTTTTAGAATTTTTTTAAATATTTCTTTATGGTAATGACATTTAAAAATCTTTAATTAGAACTTTATATTAACATGCTCCATTTTTAATTTTTATCATTATGAAAAAGTTTTTGAATATAATCATGATTTATTGGAGGAATATAAGGTAATAGATTCATCATGTAGTATAATATTTTAATTTATGGATTGTATTAATTTAGAAGTGAAACAACAAAAATCAGCGTTATGTTTTCAAATTTTCACAGGACTAGTTTCGATGATTTTACCGAACCATCATCCTCAGCTGCATTTGCGCTTTTGCAGCTGAGGATGATGGTTCGGTAAAACCATCGAAACTATTCCTGTAAAAATTTGAAAATATAACGCTGATTTTTGTTGTTTGACTTCTAAATTAATATTTGTTCTGCGTGTTTGTATCTTAATTATGGATCGTATTTTTTAACTAAATATTATGTCTTTGCGGAAAGTGGACCTACACCACTTTCGAAGGAATTATATTTGTAATTTTAATTAACTACATAAATTTATATTGAAAAAGTTATAAAAATTTTGTAGGATTTTTTGGGAGAAACTGTTTATAAATAGAAAGCTCATAACTAATTGCTTTCATTTTTATCATTAACTAAGCCCTCCTTTTTTTAATGTACTTACACCACTTTCAAAGAAAACGGCTCAAATAATTGCTTTCATTGATATTTAGCAATTATGAGTATATTTACAAATACAAATTTATGCACAGAATGGGATTTTGATTTGATAGCTTAAAGTCGAAAATAAAACTCTTATCTTATTTTAGTATTTGAATATATTTATTACATAACATTCTTCTTATATAAAAATTGAACAAAAACTTAATTCAGTTTTACTTAGTATTAATACTATTAAATGTGTAACACGAATTATAGGAATTAATGAAATTGCTTCCAAAATCATGTTCATAGCAAAGATAAAGAAATTTAAATATTTTTTAGATCTCTCACATTTTACTAACTAATAGATTAAAACACAGCAAAATTCTTACTTAAATCAAGTATGATCGGTAGTAAAATTCACTTATTTTTAATAACGGAAATTTAAAGGTAACATTTAAAATACACTGCGTGAAGTTATCGACGATTTTTTTTTTTTTTTCTTTAATCTACCACATTTTTTACATCATTTTTTTCCGCCTAAATATGCAATTTAGAAAATCATGTTTTTTTTTTTTTAGATTTGAAATCAAATTTAAAATCTAAAGGACTAAAAAACAGAAGAGAAACACGCCAAAGTAAAACATACAACTGTGGCTTTCCCTTCGTTTTATATTTCTTTGCTCCTGATGAAGAGAGACCTGTATCTGTTTGCCCTCGAAATTGATAGAGTCTTCATAAAAATCTACGCCAAACGTAAGGTTAATTCTTTGCTAATTTTATGCGATAAAGGTTCGAAGTCAGGCAAAGAGATATTTAAAGATGCTCAGCAAAGCCAAATTCAGATTTAACGCATTTTCTTAATTCATAGCCACAACATGTATGAAACAGTAGCATGAAAACAAATCGGATATTCTAGGATATATTCGTTATGGAGGCTACGAATTAAAATACACAGAAAAGAATGAATTAATTTTCCTTAAAAATAATATTTGTACTTACCCAAGTACTGGACATTTTTTTCATTGAAAGGTTCTCGAACGTTTTCCCAAAGGCAATTTTCTTGTTCAAAATCACAGTACCCTAACAAGATAAATATGTTTAATACAAATAATATAAATATTTTTAGTATTCTAACATAAATATATTAATAACATAAATATATATCTTGGTTTGTTATAAATATATTCTCCAGCATAAATATACTAACAAGGTAAATACACTCACGTTTGTGAAAATTGCAACACCAAGAAGGAATCGTCATAATTGAATGCAATTTAATACACAGTTGAGTGGTAGTGGTACAAATAAATGATTAAATGTTCAAAGCAAACAAACAAGAACAAGAGATCAGAATCAGTATTTTGTGTGGCCACCACGCGCCGCAATAAGTGCTGCTACACGACGTGGCATGGAGTCAACAAAGTTTGAATGTCTGACTGAGGAAGAGCATTCCATATCGTTTGTACGCGTACCCAAAGTTCGTCTGCAGACGCAACAGGACGAGGATCACGAGCAAGACGACGCCGACCAATGACATCCCACACATGTTCAATTGGCGACATATCCGGGGAACACGCAGGCCAAGGAAGAAGCTGTACCTGCTGCGCTGCAAAGAAGGATTTAACAATCCGAGCAGTATGAGGGCGGGCATTGTCCTGTTGAAATACAGCGCCTGGCAAGCTTTGAAGGAAGGGAACAGCTTCGGGCTGTAGAACTTCACGGATATACCGGTTGCTGTTCAGATTGCCCACAATTCGTAGCAATTGAGATCGTCTATGATATGCTATTGGCGCCCCAGACCATAACTCCGGGTGTTCGTCCACTGTGGCGTTCGATAATGCACTCCGGAAGGTGGCGTTCACCGGCATAGCGTATGACACGAATGCGGCCATCATGGTACCACAAATTAAAGCGGGATCGTCAGAAACACGACATGCTGCCAATCAGCACGCCAGTCTCTATGCTGATTGGCCCATTGTAGCCGCAGGCGGCGATGGTCGTGCGTTAGGGGGATCCTGTATAAAGGAGTCCGTGCGCGCAGTCCACACTGCAGCAGACGTCTACGAATTGATGAAGCACACAATGAAACACCTGTAGCTATTGACCACAGTGCTGCCAATTGTCTAGAGGAAGCTGTACGGTCCGTCCGCGCCATGCGGACCAGGTGTCTATCATCGCGAGCTGACGTCACATTTCGGGGTCCACTCCCGGATTTCCGAGTTGGTCGACACTCGTCCGTCCACTGCTTCCAAACGCGCATCACTGTGCTGCTGTTACGCTGCACACGAGAGGCTACTGCACGATACGACAATCCAGCTTCACGAAGGCCGATGATTCTCCCTCGTTCAAACTCTGTAAGTTGTTCAAATCTCGCTCTCTTTCGTCGACGAGGCATAAGTACAGATTGAGTTAACGTTTACTACTAGCAGATAACCACCGATAACCATACATGCCTCGCTACAGCCGTCTATTTATTCGGATCCATCAGCCGTTCAGAGGGCGCTGCTCAGCATACGCATGCGCTACGGATTTGCAATTCTAATCATTTGCATATCATGCGCTACTTTGCATTTCCTGAAAATTTCAGCTCACTCGCGTAAGTCCTTCATGGTGTTGCAATTTTCACAAACGTGAGTGTATATTTATAACATATCAAGATATACCTACCAAGATAAATATATTTCTAACATACCAAGATATATCTACCAAGATAAATATATTTCTAACATACCAAGATATACCTATCAATATAAATATATCTATAACATATCAAGATATACCTACAAAGATAAATATATTTATAACATACCAAGATATACCTACCAAGATAAATATTTTTATAACACACCAAGATAAATATATTTATATACCATAAAAAATTCTATATAAATTTCTACATAAAAATTCCCTACCAAATAAAATACGAGGGCTGTCTGAAACGTTTCCGACCTCGATATGTAGATGGTAGCTCAAATCAACCGAAGTGGCGGGAATTTGTTTGGACATCACTTGATAACTACCATTCAAAATTTCAGCTACTTTAAAAGCGAGTATTTTGTTTCACAATTACGTTTTTGAGTTGATGTGACCGTTTTTGCGAAAAATGGAAAAAATCGATTATCGTGCTGTCATTAGATACTTGTTTTTGAAAGGTAATAAGGTACTTACGGAAAATCCCGTCGACCATTTTTGCCTATTAAAGCAAAGACGCCAAACTACGCGATTTTTCGCCAAAAATGGAAAAGTCTTCTTCAAACGCGCTGAGTTTGGTGTAACCTTGATTACACATGTTAGTTATCCTTCTTGAGTAAAGACTCTCCCCCCCCCAATCACGCATTTTCGAGAAAAAAAAATAATAATTGCTTTCACAGTATATCTCCTTAATAAAAAATAATGGAAATTTTAAAAATGAAAAGTTAAATATAAAAAAGAAAAAACATCTGAAAGGATTCAAATTTTAAATTACGTCCAAAGGAGCGTTTTTTTAACGTTTTGTGTGCTACATTTATTTATTAAATATGATGTTCTTTGCACTTAAACCATAAAATTCAGTTCAGTAGCAATGTCGCAAAATAATTTTAAAATGAGCCTATCTTTTGAATTTCTGACACACAGTTCCGCGCGCTGGAGATAAAAAAAAAGATTTTTTTCCCCTCCGTAGAGTGTTGCCATTGCTCGATTTGAAATCCTTGAGTTTGTTAATCAAAAATTCGTTAAAGTTTTACAAAATATGAAATCGATCATAAAACAAACTCCAAATTTCAAATTTGGTGTTCCCCATGTCCATATTCGCACGCTGATGATAAAAAAAGTTTTTTTCCCGTACAGTGTTGCCATTGCTCGGTTTGAAATCGTTTAGTTTGTTAATCAAGAATTTCTTGAAGTGTTACAAAATATGAAATCGGTAATAAAACAAATTTCAAATTCAAATTAGGGCTTCCACATGCTCATATTCTATGGAGTATTACGTCATTCAAAATTCGATGGCTCTATGTACCATTGTTTTATCACAATGCGAGAAATAGACATACATTTATGCAGATTTTTCATTATTTAATTGCTTCAAATATATAATGGAGGACTCTAACATTTGGTGGCAACAGCTTGAAAAGTGAAACGGACATTTATAGTGATTCAACGCAAAATCGCAAAACGAAAACAATAGTCCTTCAGGTACAAAGCCCCTTAGGGATAATAAATGATAATATTATAAATTTGAATGAAAAATAAGAATAGAACGTTTTTTGTTGTATTTAGTAAACTTTTTTTTTTTTTTTTTTTTTTTTTTTTTTTTTTTTTTTTGGTTTGGCGCGATTGGCGCCGTCTCTTATGGACGGGATTTTCCGTATAAACCGGTAATACGCCTACTCAGATTAAAAAGGATATTGACACCGTATACGGAGACTCTGAACCAGTATTTACTACTGTGAAAGTTTGGGCAACTGAATTTAAACAAGGCCATGCCAACTTGTGTGACTATGAACGTTTAGGACAGCCAAAAATTGGAACCATCGACGAAAACATCTCCAAAATCCACCAAATGCTGCTGAACGATCGCCGAATCAAGGTTAGAAAGATAGCAGAGGCTATGAGTATGTCCAAAGAACGTGTTTGCCACATACTGAACCAAGATTTAGAAAGGCGTAAGCTGACTGCACGTTGGATGCCACGTTTGCTCACTTTGGACTGTAAACGTGTTGGCGCAATTTAAGCGCAATAAATCGGAGTTTTTTCGACTATTAATCACTGTAGGTGAAACCTAGATTCATCATTTTAGCCCAGAATCAAAAACCCAGTCAAAACAATAAACTACAAAGGAAGAATCGGCTCCAAAAAAGGCAGTTCCTTCTGCTGGGAAAGTGATGGCAACAGTTTTCTGGAACAGCCATTGGATTGTCTTAATAGAATAGCTTGAAAAGGGGAAAACCATTACCCCAGCATTCTATACAACGCTACGTGACAAGCTGAAGGCATAAATTGCGGGAAAACGGTCACATTTGCGAAAGAAAGAAAAATCGTTTCACCAAGACTCCATCTTACACCTCAGTTGTTGCAATGGCGAAAATCCATGAATTACGGTTTAAATTGCTTTACTACCGCCGTATTCGCCAGACCTGGCACCAAGTGACTATTTTTTGTTCCCTAAGCTAAAAGAAGCACTTGGAGGACAAAGATTTTCGTCAAATGAGGAGACATTACATACAAAGATCCCACATATTATTTGGTCGGGTTAAAAGAATACAAGCATCGCTAGAAGAAATGTACAGACTTACAAGGAAACTATATTGAAAAATAGGTAATTTTGGATAAAAAATATCTTTTCGCTTTGTTAGGTTGGAAAATTTTCAGACAGCCCTCGTATATATTTAATATAAATGATACAACTTTTTAAAAATATTTTATATACATCTTATTCATTGCAGAAATAATAATTTTATTTTCAGTAGTTTCTTTTGCAGTTTTATTTTCTACAGTTCCTATAGTTTCGATAGTCTTATTTTCTATAGTTTCTACAGTTAGAGTTCAAAACAAATGCTAATTAATGAAACAAGCTTTATATTGTACTTTTAGATGATTCATGAACATAAATTAATAAATATCGTTCTTCTAAAACTAAACTTTGTATTACAAAGGAAACATATTATGTCTGAATAAATTTAGCTATTAAGAACAATGAAGTAACACAGAACACGCGAACCTGTTATAAAGGAGAATGTGCGTTCATATTTTATCTCTCTAACAAGACATATGCATTTCATAGAAAGCATATACTATATGAATGCAATTTCGTATGCTAGTAAGACATATGCATTTCATAATTTCATAATTTCATAGTCATTCAATTTCTAATCTAAAGTAAATAAATATTCAGCCTTTATAAGAGTTAAAAAGTAATTCGACGAATAAAGTGCACTCTTTTCGTTACGATAAAACCTGAAAGATATATGGGCGATGTTGTTATCCTCTAAAGTGGCCCATTTGAAGATTTATCGTAGGCTTTTGAGCAACGGCATGCTGACGTGAAGGGGAACAATATATGTATAGGTAAAATGCTTGAGGGACTAAATAATTCTGCAAAGAGGGTGGGTTGTATTCAATGCAGATGTGCACAAGAATGCTATTCTAAGGTTTCGAGAAAAGGTGCGAAATAATTCGGAATACGAATGTACTTCCAATGCGGAATTAAGAGTCATTTGAAGCCATGATTTTGAAGTGAACACAACAGCTTTAGAAAATCGCATTTATTTTAGCTGAAATACACTTGATCCAGTGTTCCTTTTAGTACTAAATATGGCGGCTGCAAACGTAACAACACGTGGTTGGTTTCAGTCGCAAACTCACTCAGTTAGAGAAAGAAATTGGATATTGTGTTGCTTGGTGTTAGCAAAAGCTCCATACCTAAGTGGAAGAAAAATGACATCAGAGTACTTAATATGCCAAGAAATGGATATGCTTTGCAGAAAGGCCTAACGAAATGGCCTATCCTAGAACAAGCGGTTGCGAATTAGGTCCTAGAAAACAGCATTTAGTTACATGTGCAAATCAAATTCTAGTATGCTCATCATTTCCTCGTTTTTTAAATCTATCATTCTTATATCCGGTGTATAACGCACGCTCGTGAATTTCGATCTCATTTTTTGTATCAAAAATGCCTATTATACACGCCAGAATATAGGGTACTTTTATTCTAGGTATTGCAATTATATTACTTTTTTGGAGTTAGCGCTAGTTATTTTATTTGAAACTATATAAACAAATTCAGCACTACTGAATAATTCTTGGCCCACAATATAAATTTCGTTGTTTTAATAACCATGAAAATATAAATAAAATAATCACATTGCCGTAAAAAAATCGATACATATTTTTGATTTATAATCCATTTTACTTAAAAAATAACTGCCGCCGTTTCTGACGTTTTTATTTGAACTAATTCTTAATTTACGCTATTCTAGAATAGAAAACTACATACAAAGCAACGTAAAAATGATTACCTGGATCTGGGCAGTTTCCATTCTCGATGGATATATCATCTATAGCTACTTGACCGTAACCACGACTGCCGACGTTTACTTCGAACATAACCTGTACAACGACAAAGCAAAGGAAATTAATTCATAACATAACATAATGCATACAAAAGAATTCAGCATTACAAGTATATGCAACAAACCAACAAAGAGATGATCCTGTCACCCTCTCCCATCCTCTGAAAATATTTACAAACACTAGCTTGAGTGTACAACTATTTCGAATATTGGATATAGTATAGTATTGTGTACTATTTTCGAAATAGTGTAGAAGAGTATATATCGAATATTTGTATACAAATACAACACTATACTATATCGAAGGACGGACATCATATTAGTCCAGAGAAGCCCAGAAAGGCTATTAGTCTCAAAAAGGGATTCTGCATTGAATCACTATAAAAGTCTAAGTCACTTTTTAAATTGTTGCCACCAAATATTATCGCCCTGCACTAAATTTAAAGCAATTAAATAATGAAAAATGTGCACGAAATCATGCAAATTCCTCGTATATTTTTAAAATGCATGTTTCCTGCATTGTGAAAAAACAATTTCACAAACATAAACAACTTGTTCTGTTTATGTTTTCAGCAGTGAGTTAAAACGCTACCTAGAGCCATCAATTTTAAAAAACGTAGTCCTCCACCCGAAAATGAACATCTGGAACCCTGAATTTTGAATTTCGAATTTGTTTTATTGTGTATTTTATGTTTTGTAAAACTTAAACGAATTTTTGATTAACGAACTCGATGATTTCAAAGCGAGCAATGGCAACACTGTACGGAAAAAATCATTTTTATCTCCAGGGCGCGAGACTTTCTATCGAAAATTCTAAAAATATGGTTTTTTTAAATATTTTACTGTGTATTTAAAATTTTTTAAATCTTTAAAACGAATTTTTAATTAACAAACTCAACGATTTCAAGGCGAGCAGTGGCAACACACTATGCGGAATAAAATATTTTCAACTCCAGCGCGAGAGGCTGTCTATAGGAAATTCTAAAGATATGGTGCTTTTAAATATGTTATCGTGTATTTCTAATTTTGTAAAACTTTAACGAATTTTTCATTAACAAACTCAACGATTTTAAAGCGAGCAATGGCAACACTGTACGCAAAATAAATAAATAAATAAAATAAAATAATAAAAAAAACATTAAAAAAACAAAATCTGAAATGTTTCAGATTTTAAATTACGTCCAAAGGGCGTTTTTTAACATTTTGTGTGTTACCTTTCTTTATTATATCATGTTCCTCGCACTTAAACCATAAAGATTCCAGTTCAACAGCAATATCGCAAAATAGTTTTAAAACGAGCATATTCTTTAGAATTTCCGATACAGAGACTCACGCGCTGGAGATAAAAATGTTTTTTCTGCACAACGTTGCCATTGCTCGCTTTGAAATCCTTGAGTTTGTTAATCAAAAATTCGTTCAAAGTTTTAAAAAATATGGAAATCGATAATAAAACAAATTTCCAAATTTCAAATTTGGGTTTCTCCACATGCTCCATATTCGTTGGTAGGATTACGTTATTCAAAATTCGATGGACTCTATGTACCGTTGTTTTATATCACAATACGAGAAATATACATACATTTATTGCAGATTTTTCATTATTTAATTTCTTCAAATATAATGCAGGACTCTAACATTTTGTGGCAACAGTTTGAAAAGTGAACCGACATTTATGAGTCCGACGCAAAATACCAAACGAAACTAATAGTCCTTCGGGATTCAAATCCCTTTGGACTAAAAATAAAAAATAAATAAAATAAAATAAAATAAAATATATCCAGCGCGCGAGTTTGCATATCGAAAATTTTAGATAGGCCGTTTTTAAATATTTTTAGCCCAAATACTCTTGAAACGTGTATGCGTATGTGAATGAAAAAGGGCGTGACATGAAATCTGAGTGAAAGCTTTTAGCTTTTATTTTTAATGTTCATTATAATCAATTAAGTTGTAAGTGAATAGATTAAATGTAGACGAAGTGTCCATATTACGTTAATTTGCATTATTAACGCATATATTTCAGAAATAAATTTAACGGTTCTTTTCATATATAAGAAACTAACATCAGGAGCATCATTCAGTTTTGCTTGGAACTCTCATACCTAGGAAATCCTAATGATGTTTTATAGCTTTACTGAGAGCAATAATTTAGACAAAAAATAATATTACCATCTAAGATTTGGGAATAACTTTTGAAAACTTACCTGCCATTTTACTGTCTTCGGCGATACAGCAAATCGAGCTCCGTGCCACAGAAGTCCTTGACTGATAGTTACTGTCCATTGTGGATCTGAGATTCCACTGTCGGTTGATAAATATGCGTTGAAGGATAACTTGCTTACGTTGTAGATGTGGTAGTAGAATGTAACACAACTGCCCGTTGCCGACGCAGGACGCTTAGGTGTGTAGATACGCGAGCGATGTGATTTAACGTCACTAGTACCGTTGAAGCCGATGTATAGGTAACTACCTGCAAAAGAATGATAAATTAGTAATAATTACAATACATCCACATTTTGATACATTTTAGTAATTTTGTAGAGACATTAGGTATTTTTTTGAAAGCAGGCAAGATGAAAAATATGCAACGCCGTCGCCGGGAATCGAACCGAAGACCTTTCAATTATGCGCCGAGCGTGCAGACCATTACACCACGAAGACTCGCTAAGAAGGCGATAGAAATATCTTATATACTCCCCCTTTTAAAGGACGACTGGGGGTTTTAAGGGACCCAATCGCCAAAACCTGGGTGAGGAGAATTATCATCCAACACCCTTTTAGTTCGGGCGCCACTGTAAAGATATTAGGTACTTTTGGAAGCAGGCAACAGAGATTGAAAACTTAGCAACGCCTTCGCCGGGAATCAAACTGCGGACCTCTCAATTACGCGTGCAGACCAATACACCACGAAGGCTCGCTAAGATGACGAGAGAAATACCTTATAATTTGATTGAACGTTTCTTTAATAAATACAGATATTCATTTGTAAACCACTCTTATAAGGTCTTTTAATCTACTTTCATTTTACTACAAAAAATTGCTATTCATAGAAAGGAAAATAAAGAAATAATAGCTCTTTTAAGTAGAGTAAAATGTACTTTTTGTGTCAGATTTGAAAAAAACCCTTTTGCTAATTTACAATAAGATGCATACATTTTGTTTCAATGTCAGTGAGATGCAATAAAAAAAAATAAATAAATAAATAAAAAACCATAAACAAAATCTGAAATGTTTCAGATTTTAAATTACGTCCAAAGGGGCGTTTTTTAACATTTTGTGTGTTACCTTTCTTTATTAAATATCATGTTCTTCGCACTTAAACCATAAGATCCAGTGCAACAGCAATATCGCAAAATAGTTTTAAAACGAGCCTATCTTTAGAATTTCCGATACAGAGACTCACGCGCTGGAGATAAAAATGTTTTTTCTGCACAACGTTGCCATTGCTCGCTTTGAAATCCTTGAGTTTGTTAATCAAAAATTCGTCAAAGTTTTAAAAAATAGGAAATCGATCATAAAACAAATTTTCAAATTTCAAATTTGGTCTTCCACATGCTCATATTCGTTGGAGGATTACGTTATTCAAAATTCGATGACTCTATGTACCGTTATTTTATGACAATGTGAGAAATATACATACATTTACGCAGATTTTCATTATTTAATTTCTTCAAATATAACGCAGGACTCTAACATTTTATGGCAACAGTTTGAAAAGTGAACCGACATTTATCCGTCCGACGCAAAATGCCAAAACGAAAGCAATAGTCCTTCGGGACTCAAGTCCCTTTGAACTAATAAAGTCAAATCAATTTACTCGGAAGAAGATCGTGTAAAAGAAATAGCAAATAATTCAAGAGCTTCAATCAAAAAATGAAACAGGAGGGTTGTGCATATTCGAGAACTGTTCTTGCATTATATTCTTTTATAAAAAAAATCACAGTATTACAGTAAAATTAAATATCTGATGTGGACACTACGGTTTTCACTTCACGGCAAGGCAAAAATACATTAAAAAAATCGTCATTTAAAACCAGTAAAATATAGAAAAACCTAAAAAACCAAATACAGTTAAAAACAGTTAACAAAACACATTTTGCGGTTAAAATTAGCAAAAACAAGCAATTCGGCCAATGGGCAGGAATACGAAGTTTTCGGTGCTCAAGTTAAATGTTAACTTTCCGTCACACTGGGCAGAAAGACACCGAATTTGTTTCACAAACTGACTAATTCTCTACTCTAATAAGTGTTTCAAACTGTAAACAAATGGCGGCCTCGTTAGGCTTAGCAGTGCCATTTAAACTTTTAAATTGTTGATAATTCCACATCTATTGCATACAGATTAATTAAAGGCATAAAAACCTTAACCGGAATATAAGAATAGTATAAGTCAATCATCATTAAAGCAAATGCACAATTTACCAACATAAAAAAATAAAAAAAAAAAAACAAAAAAACTAAGCTCACTCAGCCTAGTAACAGAGTGGCTATATATATATATATGTAATGATATTTTTAAATCAATTGATTAAATTAAATTCTATTAATATTGCTTAATAATGTGTTGGCGATTCTCTACCTAAGTTGCATCCCTGTTCCTAAATTTCGGCGAAATCATTTCTTTAGTATAAAATATATTAACCTGTTGGCGCCCGCCAAATCGCCAAACTCATAAATCTGTCATATTACATAAAGTCCTTAAGAACACTCTTGATGAGAGGATAGCGTCACCTCGTGATTTCAATTAATATCGCTGATTGGAGGAGCCTCGTGACGCACACATATGTATAAATATGGCTTCTTCTCAAGGTAGGAGGAGAACGCTTGTGAGATGGATGCTAAAATAAACCTACCACTTTATATTCCAAAATTTGTCTCATTCCTGTTGCCCCGGCTGCACAAAACAAATAATGTATGACAAATTACATTTCATATATATATATAAGATATAACAAAATATGATAGCTGTTTCAAAAAAATAATTGGCGACCTCAAAATTAACATTCTAAATTTGGTGATCTGCCCCTAAATTCATCTCTTCTCACAGGTTCCAGATTTTTCTATCTTACGTAACGTTTTAATGCAGATGCCTCTTGTCCAATCAAATTGATTAAAGATTGATTTTTCAAGATACGTTGTGCTAAATTGCGTCGTCATGCTTTCCACTCTGCCACCTTCAACCCACTACGGTATTCTCGGTCATCTACGCAGTATTCATAAGCTGTTAAAAGTTCCACTGTTTTTATCTACGCATTTTTAAATCATTATATACATTTGGTGCGGTAGATTGTGACGAAAACGAAAGGTACACAACTACATGTTATAGCTGTCTCATACAGAAAATTTCAACATTCTATGGCTACTCCTTTTTGAGTTATGCCAGATACATACGTATGTACGCACAGACATGACGGAAAAAAAAAAAAAAAAAAAACTCTTTTGAATGCATTTTAAATCCATTTTGGGAAAAAGAGCCCTTAATTCTGTCTGTACGTAAAGATGTGACGCAAAAACATCGCTCAAATGGATTCGAGATAGGCCAAAATGGATAGTTTCGTTGAAATATCATACATAAAATACGACATGAATATTTAAAAACAGCATGTCAATAGAATTTCCGAGAGACAGTTTCACGTTTTGTAGATGAAAGTGTTAATTCCGTAGAGTACTGCCACTGTTCTCTTTGAAATCGCTGAGTTTATTACTAAAAAATTCGTTAAAGTATTATAAAATATGAAATTGACACTAAACCAAATTCCAGATTCGGGCTTTCCCGTGCCCACGTTCAGCTGAATGAATTATTCAAAATGCGACGGCTATAGGTGGCGTTGTTTTTTCACAATGCGAGAAACATACCTACATTCATGCAGATTCTTCATTATTTAATTTCTTTAAATATAATACAGGGCGATAATATTTGTTGGTAACAATTTGAAAAGCGAAACAGGCATTTATATTTACCAAAGCAAAATACCCTTCCGAGACTAACAGCCCTACTGGACTAAGTCTTATTTGGGCTAAAAATTCTCTTGCACACATTTGTTGCTATTTTTTGCGTTATTTTCGCGTCGTAATTATTTCTCAGCTTAATTAATAAATTGCCTGTGACGAGCTACATGAAGATTGTTTTAAAGAATCTTTTCGTTATCCTTATCTGGACCTTAAGAAATTTGATACTGCAATTGTTCTTCTACAAACACAAAGATCCGCTAGCTCAACGTTATTCGCTATTTTGTAACTGTTCTTCTATAAACACAAACGCCAGCTAGCTCAACGTTGTTCGCCAGTTTGTAACTGTTCTTCTATAAACACAAACGCCAGCTAGCTCAACGTTGGGCGCCAGTTTGTAACTGTTCTTCTATAAACACACGTCCGATAGCTCAACGTTGGGCGCCATTTTGTAACTGTTCTTCTATAAACACAAACACCAGCTAGCTCTAAAACGATTTATTAACAAAGCGCAGGAACAGTTGCAAAGAAAGCATACATCAGAACAGAACTTACACTGAAACGAAACACCTAACGTTTAGACGTAACATTTAAAATTAACTTTAGTATTACGGAGACATAGTAAGGAAGAACCTGTCCTCATCGTAGCTGAAGGTCGACTGACTGTAAGTCGTTCTCTTCGCCACTAGGTGACGTTCGATAAAATAGTTCGGTTGCAGTCAAATAATTCTGTTACAATAGAGAATATAAATTCTGAATTCCAAAAACTTAACAAACCATGCGTACGTTATAGCAATATCAAAACCTTGGATTTCATTAACTTCGTAAATCATGAAACGTAAACCAATGAGGAATTGAAGAACTTACCTTCTATAGATCCTGTAGTATGGTCTGGCATTCTGTACATAGTATTATTGTCCTCCCCTGATCTGACTTCCCAGTCTAAAGTGTTCTGTGAATCCTGAGTCAAATCGCACATGTTGTTATCTTCGTCGAAAGTACAAATTTCTGTAAAGTATAATCATTATCATCAGTATCTACAAATAACCAAAAAAACATAAATTACACTATCGAGTTTGACTTTCTTTGGTAGCATAAAATAATATCGAACTCCTAAGAGACACAGAGCTAAGTATCGCTGGACAAGAGAATCTTGAAAAGGTTTAAACCTTTTATTAAAACAGAATACATAACCACCTGTGACGATGAAACTTAAAATAATAGTAAATTTCAAAATGTAAGGTAAACCTAGTAGCCGAAGATTATGGAATTTATTTTAAATCGAAGCTCGCTCATAACTTCCCACCAGCGTAACAATTATACAGTGGCTCCCAAAAGTGTTCGTACACTTATGACTTGTACTGAAATAGGGCTCTATCCATTAATTAAAAGTAAACTTTCTGAATGAGATTTTAATAATAAGATCTATAATCTATTCGTAACAAAATTACATGAAATATTTTTTAAATATAGCGAAACTTTATTTTTAAGAAATTAATAATCAAAAAATAACAAATATTTTATCTCACAAAAGTCTTCGTACACTGAAATATTTTTGGATAAAATCAAAATTAGAATTATTATTTGCCGCTTTTTTTAATTTTTGCATTATGGTGGCATTTAAAAAATCGTTTGCTTTAATTTTTTATTGTTTACTTCATAATATTCTATTTATTATTGATAAATGGGTCGCGGTCGTAAAGAAATTACAAACAACATTCGAAAATTGATAATTTTTCACCATAATACTGGTAAATCAATTCAAAATATCGCTAAATTAGTTAATTTATCCCATTCTACAGTGCAGTATGTGATAAAACGCTTTAAAGAAGAAAATCGGAATGAAAACAAGGAAAGAAAATGTCGACCGAGAAAGTTAACTAAACGTGATGAGAGATTTTATTATTAGAAAATTTGTGAAAAGCCCACGTTTCAGTGCTGTAAAAGTTTCTGCAGAACTTATTGCAAAGTTTTCTACTTCAATTTCACCTGAAACTGTTCGACGAGTTCTCAGAGAAGCTGGATTACATGGGCGTTCTGCCCGTAAAAAATGCTTTGTTAGTGGGAAAAACAGAAAGCTTAGGCTTTCATTCGCAAAATCAATGATAAATACATCCGAAACGTACTGGAATAATGTCCTACTTGCTGACGAAAACAAAGTAAACATTTTTGGTTCCGATAGTCGAATAACTGTATGGAGCATAAAAAATGAAGAACTTTATTCTAAGAACTTAGTTGGAACAGTTAAGCATGGCAGTGGAGGTGTTCTTCTGTGGGGGTGCACAGCAGCATCAGGACAAGGTAATTTGGTGTTTATTGATGGCACAGTTGAATCATGCTCTTTATTTAAATATTTTAAAGCGATAATTTTAAAATTATCCGCCCAAAATTTGGGGTATTGGAAACAACTTTATTTTTAATCATGATAACGATCCTAAGCATACGGCTCTCAACATTCGGCTGTGGTGTCTCTATAATTGTCCACAGGTTTTGAAAACACCTCAGTAGCCAGATTTAAACCCCATAGAACACATTTGGAAAGAACTGGAGTTTAAAGTACGAAAACACGACATTAAAACGAAAAGCGAACTCAAAACAGTCATGATTGAAGAATGAATGGACATTGATACAAAAATTACAATAAATAAATAAATAAATAAATAAATAAATAAATAAAACTAGTAAATGTTTTTCCCAGACGTTTAAAAGCTGTTGTGGATGCTAAAGGATATCATTCTAAATATTAATTTAACGAAAAATGAAAATATTTACTGATATGTCAAGATTTTGTTTTTGAAGTGTACGAAGACTTTTGTGAGATAAAATATTTGTCTTTTTTTTATTATTAATTTCTTAAAAATAACGTTTTGCTACATTTTAAAAATATTTCATGTAATTTTGTTACGAATAGATTATAGATCTTATTATTAAAATCTCACTCAGAAAGTTTACTTTTAATTAATGGATAGAGCTCTATTTCAATGAAAGTCATAAGTGTACGAACACTTTTGGGAGCCACTGTATATCGGCAGCAATAACGCAAAGCCGAATAATTAGAATCTCATCAGAGGTGACAAAACCTAATCATATCGATGCTTTGTCTATCATTAAAGCGATCAACTAGAAAATCATACAGTTTTCGTTTATTCTAAATCATAAAAAAAATGTACAAACTTTCCGATAGCATTTTTGTTATTTCAAAATTTAGCTCATATTTTTAGCAAAAATATATTTTTAGTGAGACAAATCTCATTTATATTGCATTGCTCTTCGTAAATTAATGATACGCAGTCTAAGAAACAAGTAAACTAAGACACAATAACACGCAGAATAAATACTAATTCAGAAGTCAAACAACTTCTGAATTAGTATTTATTCGGCATATTTGACTTCTGAATTAGTAAACAAGTAAACATTACTTACTGGATATGGGACACGTTCCTTCTCTAGCTGAAAAATCGTCCAGAGCTATGACACCTGTTTTTACATCTCCAATTATTCTCATCTGCAAGATTATTCAATAATATAAGTTTCCATGAATTTTATTTTTAAGCTTTTATGTTTATTGAATTAACATTAAATCATTTCTCTAAGATTTTTAGTCCAAAGGGGCTTTGTCCCGTGAAGGACTACTGTTTTCGTTTTGCGATTTTGCGTTGAATCACTATAAATGTACGTTTCACTTTTCAAACTGTTGCCACAAAATGTTAGAGTCCTGCATTATATTTCAAGAAATTAAATAATGAAAAATCTGCATAAATGTATGCAAATTTCTCGGAATGTTATAAAACAACGGTACATAGAGCCATCGAATTTTTAATGACGTAATTCTCCTACGAATATTGGCATGGGGAAGACCAAATTTGGACCAAATTTGGTAATGATCGATTTCATATTTTGTAAAACTTTAACGAATTTTTGACTAACAAACTCAACGATTTAAAAGCGAGCAATGACAACACTCTACGGGGGGGAGGGGGAACCTTTTTACGCCCAGCGCGCGGAACTGTGTATCGGAAATTCTAATGATATGCTCATTTTAAAATTATTTTGCGACATTGCTATTGAATTTAATTTTATGATTTAAGTGCAAACATAATATTTAATAAATAAAGGTAATACACAAAACAATAAAAAACGCCCCTTTGGATTTCATTAAAAATCTGAAATCTTTCAGATTCTTTTTTCCTTGAAATTTTCAAGCAGTTCTCTGGCAATTCGTTTGGTTTTAATTATGACAAGGCACTCGAGGGCTATCCGTCTAAGGGAAGGAAGCCTTCGTGGAGAACGTTTTAAGGAACCTGGCTCCTATACACGTTGCACATGGTTAAAAACCATGAAAACGCTCATGCAGCCAGCCCGTTCTCCGGGATTCGAAGCCCAGATCGAATTGATAGTGTTTAAAGCTCGGCCGGTTATGGGCGCCAGTTCTCTGCCTAGTAATTTATTATCTGATAATGAATTCTACAAAATAAAATTTTAGTTTTACTAGTGACCGGTTACGTACGTCATTAAGGAGCCAGCCTGTAAATTTTCCACCTGCTGAAGCAGGCATTCATTCACGCATACTAAAAGGGATAACATCGTTTATCATAATACCATACGAAAACAACAATTTTAACAATAGGTAATAAAAACTACGATAAAAACGCGACATGCTTTAATTTTAGAAGTATTCGCTTCTTGTTTTAAAATAAGCAAACCATAGCTGCTAAGAGTTAGGACTTGGAAAATGTTTACTATTAATGAATTAGAGAAATTTTAAGAAAAATGACGACAGAAAGCGTCGTTTCTGGAAAACAGTTTGTAGAGTTATTTGTAAGCAACAGATATGAAAAATGTACAACACCCTCGCCGGGACTCGAACCTGGACCTCTCGAATACGCGCTGAGTGTACAACCGTTACACCATGAATGCATGTTGGAAGGAGGGAGAAAATACCTTATATGCTCCCCCTTTTAAAGGACAACTGGGGATTAGGCGACACAGTCGCTAAATTCTGGTGGTCAAGAATTATTGTTCACCGCCTTTTAGTTCGTGCGCGACTTGTAGAGTCATTACGTTATTTTGAAGCAGGTGTGTGTGTGTATTTAATTATGGCAAAGCACACGAGGGCTATCTGCCTAAGAGGGAGGGATACCTTGGTGGAGGACTTTCTGAGGAAAACTGGCTCGTATACACGTCACACATGGGGAAAACCACGAAAAACGCCCATGCAGCCAGCCCGTTCGTGGGATTCGAACCTCGGACCGAACTACCAGTGTTCAGCGACTTTACCGCTCGACCGCTGGTGGGATATTTTGAAGCAGGAGAAGTGGAAAATGTGCAGTGCCTCACCGCGATTCGAAACCTGGACCTTTCGACTACGCATGGGTATGCTTCCACTACATCACGAAGGCATGCGTAAGGAAGGGAGAAAATACCTTACAAAAGCGAGGAAAGTGGGTATTGATAATAAAATTCCTGCTTTCATCAAAGCTGTTCTTACACAATAGAAGTAAGCCGAAATGTTAAATCAAATGAAAATATCTGGCGTGTACACCACATGAATTCCTTGTACGGAATATTAAATTATACGCATTTTTTATTGCATTTTATTTAAACTTATTTGATTGAATTAAATCTACTTCGCTGACAGCGCATAAAACACAATAGAATAAATGCATTCTTTAAAATTCAGTCTAGTATTGGTTTACCATAGCGACACTCTGGCGCTAGATTCACTTAGCAGTATTATATTTCGTTCACGTTATAACTCATAATGCACAAAATTTATATCATTTAAAGAATAGAATTATCTAATCGTTGCCACATGTTCTAATCAATAAAGCTAAAATGATGTATGAAAGAAATTAAGCAAAAAAAAAAAAAAAACAGTTTTTCACAGACGATTGAATATTTCTCATTCAATTAATTCAGTTCTCACTTCGCGAGAAGGCAAAAATACATAAAAACTCAAAATATCTGTATTAAAAATTACGAAGTAAATCTTAAACATTTATTTCCTCGAAAAAATTCCAGAAAGGATTAAGCATGATTTAATTCGCAATAATAATTGAAGGCGTTATCTTTGTTGTTGCGAAGCTAAGTTTCTCTAGATTGGCAACAAATCCACTAGTCTGCTGTTTCAAATGTAAACAATCAATGGCCGCCATAAAAAAAAGGCCTAGCGGCACTTAAACAACTTTAAAATTGTTGATAATTCTAAAAATATTGCATACAGATTTACAAAAGGCATAAAAACCTTAAGTGGAAGATAAAAACAACATATATCAATCATTTTTAAAACAAAAAATGTACAATTTACAAACATATAAGAGTAAAGAAACTGAGATCACTGAGCCGGTAACAAAGTGGATATATATATATATACTTATATATGTTTGGTGCGGCCGATGGCAACCAAAGTACCAAGTGCACATCTACATGTTATAGCAGTCCTATATACAAAATTTCGACGTTCTGAGGCTACTCGGGTTTGAGTTATGCGAGATACGTGCGTACGTACATACGTTCGTACAGACGCCACGAAAAATTCTCTTCTGAATTCATTTTAAAGCAGTTTTATATTTTTTTGGAGGAAAAGAGTCTTTTATTCTGTCCTTACGTACAGATATCACGCAAAAACATCGTTCAGTTGCATTCGATAGCGGTCAAAATGGATATTTTCGTTGAAATATGCTGTCTGAAACTTTTCGCGATTACAATACTTCCTTTTTACTTCGTACAAGGAAGTAAAAAGGAAACTTCTAGAAGGTTCCTCGAAGTACTAAGAACAAAATACCGCAGCTCTTTAACTTCCAAGGTAAAGGGATAAAAATGCAAGCATTCGGTATAGGACAAACATGATTAATTAAAATATGATTTACCTTTGGTGCTGACAAACTGCTTTTGATGTGAACATAAGCATGTCTCCAACGGTAACCAAAGTTGCCTTTTCTGTTCCAAAATGAAACGTAATCTGTAAACCAACCAGGCCTGTGTTGTGCTGTGATGCTGAGACTGAAAGAGAAAAGAAGATATTGTCACAAATTGTAGATGATTTTAGTGCAATTGCATGTGAAATTGTTGTATTTTTCTTTAGTAAATAAATGTAACATGTGTATCTAGAGATACAAAGACAAGTCTATTTAACATTAAGTATCGCTATCTCGTTAATTTGGCGAGATATCGCCAATCTGATACTGGTTTTTGTGACTTGGTGATTCTTCGCCAATTTTGGCGACAATATTTCGTCGCCAAATTTAGCAAGAGATAGTCAAAAGACGCCTAAATTGAGAAACCATTTAGCGACATTTTGGTTCAGTCCCTGCATAACCGTAATGGATATTGTAACTGAATAACTGTAGTTGATTTCATATGCAACTGTAACTGTACCTAACCCTCACAGACCTTACAGTAATTTCGAGAAGTACTAGAAAGTAGGTGACATGGCATAGAATGTAAATATCTGATGTCGGCATCACATCACTTCCTTGTACGCCTATTAAATTGTACACACTTTTTGCTACATTTTATTTAAATTTATTTCCTCGAATTTCATTACAGATATATTTCTCATTCAATCAATTCAGTTCTCATTTTGAGGCGAGGTGAAAATACATAAAAACTCAAAGTATCTTCATTAAAAATTGTCAAATACATCAAAACACAAAGTACACATAAAAACAGTTAAAAAAAAACAACTTTTACAATTAAAATTAGAGTTTCTACGCAAAACCAAACAATTTGGCCATCGAGGAAAAAAGACAGGTTTTTTTCGTTGCACAAATTTGAAAGTTTATTTTTGGTCCTATTGACACTAAAGTTCGTGCACAAACTGACTGAATTCACTATTAGTACCACTTAAAAAACTTTTGAATTTTTAATAATTCTACAGCTATTGCATGCAGATTAACTAAGACATAAAAGCCCTAACCGGAACATATGAACAACGTAATTCAATCAGTTTGAACACAAAAAATGCACATAAAAGAATAAAAATTCTGAGTTAACCGAACTGGATAACAGAGTGAGTAGTGAGTACATATGTTATAATAATTTCGAAGCACAGTCGTGATGGCTGAGTAGTAGGGCGATGAAGATAATGAAATATACTTCCACGTATATAAAATCATCTCCATAGATATTTATCCAATCATAATGAAATCCGATACATTTCTATGATTCAGTCGTAAAATATGATAAATTTTAATGTACATTAGTTTTTAACAAGAGATGACGCAGGCATCTTACTAAAGCGAAGCGAGGAGATATTAGCAAGGTAGGATCTAGTAGAATAATGCCGCAGAATGATGACGTAATTAATCGCCAGTGGTATTTATACCAAGTTTGATATACAAGTGCAGCTAATCTATGATTGGTTAGTTTTAGTTGCCCCTTTTCAGTAGGGTTACATAACGTAGAAAAATCTCGAATTAGGGAGAATAGATGAATTTAGAAGTAGAGCACCAAATCTAGAATGTTAAGTTTGAGGCCACCAATTATTTTTTAAAAGCAGCTATCTATTTTTTTTTACTTTATTATATATATATATATATATATATATATATATATATGTAGGAAATTTAGAACAATTTTCACAAAGACGAAAATTGTGAATTTCATAATTAGTAAATTTCATGCAATCTTATAAATGCAACAAAGAAAAAATAATAAAAGTTTTCGTTTTTACATTTATTAAATTTTTTGTTGCATTTATTAGATTGTTTGAAATTTAGTAATTATGAATTTCAAAATTTTCGTCTTTGTGAAACATTAGTTCTAAGTTTCGTACAATATAGATATATATATATATATACAGTGGTGGACAAAATTATGGACACTTTTGGAAATTTTTATGTTTTTGAACTTTGTATGCTTATAGAAAATGTTACGTTTCGCAAAAGTTGCAATACAAAAAAAGTTATATGTACTTTAATATAAATAAAAAACACAGTTGTGAAGTGGTTTGTAATGTCTAGCTTTCCTGGCCAATCACTGTTCTTGTTCTGAGAACCAATCAAATGTTAGTAACTGCCAGTAGAAGCTGACATCATGTTTACACTTGAAACAATTCATTATTTTGCTTTGTTCTGTAGAAGGAGGACCTGTTTCTTATACACTGCAATTACAAGGAAGAATTTTTGTAAAAATTTTTAATATTTAGTCAAGAAGCAATGACATGAAATAAAAGAGTAAATTGGACACCTAGAAAGAGATGTAATATTATTGTGTTACGAGAAAGTGGTCTTTCCTATGCTGAAATTGCAAGACAGGTGGGTGGTTCAGTTATCAGGATCAATGTTCCTTCTAACCTTCTTCGGGAACATACAAGGACCTGACTCGGAACAGAGAGCTTACTAAAGCTATGTTCACTAATTGTGGTAAGTAGACAGGATACAGACGAAGGGTATACAAAACCCTTTATTTTTCTCTATATACAATAACTTCCGTACTTCGGAATACAATGACTCGCCACTCGGGGTCTAACGTAAAAGTATAAAAATAAAACTAAACTCTAATTTAACTTTAGAATAATACACGTGGAAGATTGGCCTTATAATAACAGGAAGCGTATGTAGCACAGAGAACTGTGAACACTACAATACGTTTAATTTATCAGAGGATTAAAACCTCTGGCCTGGAAGGCAAACAGCAACTGCGTAAAACTTCTAAGGTAAACGGCCTGCTTCGACTCACTACTTCCTCTCTTTCGCTTGGCAAAAAGGCCACAACTTAAATACTTGGCGTTCGCCAGACAAACTTTGCATAAAAACCTTCACGCTTATAATTCTGGCCGGAAGTAGAAAATAAGAAGTGATAGTAAAGATTTAAAATAAAATAAACGTTAGTAAAACTTAAGATCCTTACATACTTCCCGCCAGAGTTAATTAGTTTGAAACTGAGGTCTAAAACGACCTTGTTGAAAACTTTTAGCTCTAGAATCTAACGCGAGGCCAATCTTTTACAAACATTTTTCGCTAGAAACTAGAAATTTAAAAGAAAGAAAATTTGTTACAATAGCAGCTCCCAGGATATACAACAATCTTTTTTTTTTCATCTGTACTGCATCTAAACAGGAGCTTTTATTCAAATTCTGGTTCCTTCCAGAGATCTGGAAGGAAAACTAGTTTAATGAAATGTTACACAATGAATGGCAAATAACATATAGAATATATTTCTCTTAACATTCTTATTTCATTCATGACTATTTTAATTATCTCTCCCCGTGCTCTCTGACATGTGTTGTAAAAGAACACCAAACACGAATGTGTTTCTGTCTACGTGTTCCACACTTCCTCCTACAATCAAAACACTAACGTGTTAAAATTCAACATAACAAGACCTCTTAACACACCCTAATTTCAACTCTAAACCCTGAGGTACTATTCTAAAAGTGGCTAACTCTAAAGTGTAGCGTCAGAGAGCCTAACTACATCATTCAACCTTTAACACATATTCACCATGATTTAGTCTTTACAGTCACACGAATAACAAATTTTTAACATTACTTTCACTTTTACCATATCACGGTATTTCTTAACATTTAAAAATAACAGAACATATTCAACATGCCGTTAATTTTACACATTTGAAAACATACATTAGTAGTACATTGTTAACTTCTATTCTTTTCAAAGCAAGTGCCAATTCTTTCTACATTGAAATAATACATTTCAAAAAGTCTTTCAGACTAAAACTTCTTTCTTGCTAGAATGTTTTAAATAAAATTTATACAATAACTTTTTACAATATTTAAGTCTTTACACAACGCTATTATACATCAACTTTAGTTTTACGCGCGAGTAATTGAAAAACATAATACCAAAATCGGTAACAACTCATTTCTCGCCCTTTTGGCGATAAAGGTAGACCTCGCATGAGGTAAAACTTCTTGAAATCTGCCACTTGCAGTAAGAATGAAAGATTAACTTAAGTTTGCAAAGTAACATAAAATTTTACTTATCTTTGTGATATTCGGACATCCTTTTCTGGGCCCAGTCCTTTAAAGGTATTGCAGATAGTACCGTTTGATTTATCCTCCTTCTTGTACGGGCTCGCCCTTCAGTGCCTTCCTCTGGAAGCTTTCCTTTTTTCACCAGTTCGGTCACCCTTGAATACCTTCCTTTTCTCCTCTGCTTGTGGTCTTGGCCGTTTGATGGCAGCTGGTCTTGGCGGAACCGGGAAACTTCTTTCGTGTTCCTGCTTGGACCTCGTTGCTGGCCGTTCAAATTTTCCTTGTAACTTTTCCTCCGCCGCTGATGGCCCTTCCGCAGTTCGGCGACATTTGCTGCGGAGAGTCCTGTCGGATGAGTAGATCTTCCGTTTTAGAGCCGGGTTATAGTTGCCGTCATTTCTCCTGGTTCTCTTCACATACGTCGTCCTTCTCCCTTCTTCATTCTGGGGGGTGTACGTGAACTCTCTTTTCTGGACGGTGGAACGGCTTCTTTTTCTTGTTACCTTCAATTTTTCCGCGGGGGAAACTTTCTTTTCACTTGCTCCTGCCTCTTAATGGCTTGCCCTTGTACTTGTCGTTTTTCCACCTCTGGAGCTTGTGCCTGCGGTGTCTGCCGTGCCGGATCCTGCAAAAGATCTGAAAGGCTTTTAACACTACTACAGCGTGAGTTATTTTTTCTATAACATATGGTCCTTCAAATCGTGGAAAAAATTTGGCAGTTTTATCTTCTGGTGCTGAAGAAAGTGAATGCTTAATTTTTAAAACTTCATCCCCTACTTTATAAGTTACTCCCCGTCGTTTCAAATCATAATATAGCTTCTGTTTTCTTTGTGCTACTTCCGTATTCTTTTTTGCTTCTTTTAATTAGTTTTTCTATATCACCCATTTTAAATTCTGGGGCTCTTTGTTGCACATAAAATAATTTATCTAACGGCGTTATAATCTTTCTGCCTAGAAATAACTCAGCAGGAGTTTTGCCCGTTGTATCATGTTTTGCGGTCCTAAGGGCGAAAGCAAATTCATTGACATAGTTATCCCAGCTTTTATGAAAATTTTTAACATA